TAAATTCTGTTGTACAGGCCAAAATTGTGTAACATTATAAATCTTTAAATCAGTTTGAAACTTGTTTAAAAACGGTTGCAACTCAATGCCGTGCGGGTTTTAAAAAATATTGAGAAAGTATTAAAAAAGGTATTAAAAAGTGTTAAATTTAACCTCTGGATTTCTGTATATACCCTGTATACTTTCGGCAGTGCCCTTAGGGTGCATGGGAGTTTGCCCAACCAGTCTACATGTGCTTTGTGGACTTGGAGAAGGCATTCGACCGCGTCCCTCGGGGAGTCCTGTGGGGAGTACTCCGGGAGTATAGGGTGCCGGGCTGCCTTATAAGGGCTGTTCAGTCCCTGTACAACCGGTGTCAGAGCTTAGTCCGCATTGCCAGCAGTAAGTTGGACTCGTTCCCGGTGAGGGTTGGACTCTGCCAGGGCTGGCCTTTATCACCGATTCTGTTCATAACTTTTATGGACAGAATTTCTAGGTGAATTGAAGGTGTCCAGTTTGGTGACCTCAGGATTAGGTCTCTGCTTTTTGCAGATGATGTGGTTCATCAGACCGTGACCTTCGGCTCTCACTGGAACTGTTCACAGCCGAGTGTGAAGCGGCTCGAATGAAAATCAGCACCTCCAAATCCGAGACCATGGTTCTCAGCCGGAAAAGGGTGGAGTGCTCTCTCCGGGTCAGGGAGGAGGTCCTTCCCCAAGTGGAGGAGTTTAAGTATCTTGGGGTCTTGTTCACGAGTGAGGGAAGGATGGAACGGGAGATCGACAGGTGGATCGGTGCGGCGTCAGCAGTGATGCGGGCGCTGCATCAGTCTGTCATGGTGAAGAAGGAGCTGAGCCAAAAGGCAAAGCTCTCGATTTACCAGTCGATCTACGTTCCTACCCTCACCTATGGTCACGAGCTGTTGCTGGATATCAGAAGGCTCATTAGAATTTATCGAGGAAGTGCTACTTACTGTTCTGTGCATGACAACATTTTTAGGAAACTTACCCCTGTTTAACACATAATACTCTGGACAATGGTAATATTTGCAAAAAATATTTGCACTATGGTGCTTTTGGGATATGCTCCGCTTTTTTTGTTACACAAAATGGTTCGTTGAACTACAGTAATAATGGTCAATACTCTGCTAACTAGCAAATTAAGTAAAAAGTAGATGTACAATAGGGGGGCAGCGTGTGGCTCAGTTTGGTTCAAACCCAGCCTCAGCACATCTGCGGGTCCTTGAGCAAGACCCTCAACCCCCAGCTCCCTGGGCACCGCTACAGGTGGCTGCCCTTCGCGGACACCTTGTTGAGGGAGGCGTAAAAAGAATTTCCCCACAGGGATTAATAAATTATTATTATTATTATTATTATTATTTCAATATATTGCTTAACATATCAGATATTGGTTGATATTTGTTCAAACTCAGGATATCAACATTTATCTGATGAGTCAGTTTTGGCCGGACAATATTTAAACTTTCATTAACTCATTCATCACTTATAAGAGGCCTCAAAGTATTGGCCCTTGACAAGTTTATAATGAATTATTAAATCTGGCCCATAGATTGTGCCATAGATTCATTTTCTAGAGAATAAAAGACAATTTAACGTTCTTCCACTAATCTGGGTTTACACTTATCAGCGATATTAAACAAAAATATATCACTAATCACTATCGCTCAAAAAAGTGGTCAATCAGGGGGTGCTTCCTTATTTGTTTGTTTCTGTACAATTCAGTTGTTGGTCTTTTTGATAGTTTACACTGGCTTGTTCTCCTTGTGAATAAAAATAGTTTTTGATGATTCTACTTTCTTTGTATGCATCTTTGTATTCCTAAAACATTTCAGGATGGGGAAATCAAACAAAAGTTCAGCCTCTCTTTCCAAATTTTAAGTTCATGTTCAGTGTGTCATCCTGCAAAGTTCTTATTTTGAGACCTTTGTTACACTTTCCATTAAATCTTTCCACAACCAAATCCTCTATTTTTATCAACAACAACAAACATTATTAATCAATCAGTCAGTTGTCTGGTAACCAAGTTCCTGAGTGAGCAGAATAGGCTTAAAGGATAATTAACAGAGCCGTGGAAACAATGTGCTTCCCATGATGGTTAGTCATTCTACTGCTCTTTTCTACTTGAGCTCTGAATTATTAGATAACAGTGCCTTTGTTATCTAATAATAGAACTGACTCTAACAACAGTTTTCATCTTGTCCACAGCGTGCCTTGCTTCCAGAAATTGCTGACATCCCAGTACCCTCAGTTACTGTAAAGGTAGGGCTGCTGGGGTCTTCTACTCTTCCTCATTTTTTATGGAATAGGATTCGTACCAGCATCTATACTTTGGGTGTCCCTGAGAATGGAAGTTCCTGTTCTTCATTTTCCAGATCCAATTGATGAGCCATTTGTCAGTGCAGAGCCCCAAGCTGAGTGTGTGCGTGCAACCTCCTTTGGCAGTGACCCAGGAGCAGTTTGTACTGGATTCCATGGGTGAGTGACTACGTGTGTGACAGTCTATGTCCTGCCAGTGATTGTGCATGTACACTCCTGGGCAAAAGAATGGACCAGGGATTATTGTTGTGCAATATGGGTTTGGCCCATTTTTTTGTACTAATTGCTATATGCATTAGGAGTGTAACAGTATACAAAACTCAGGGTTCAGTACAAACCTCAGTTTTGGGTTTTTGGTTCAGTGCAATTTTGGTGCAGCCGGAAAAAACAATTTGTTTTGAAATCAGGTATCATTATAATTGGAAACACAAATGCAGTTAGAAACAGTTGTTAATCAAAGTCAATGCGTATGAGGACAAAACCATATAGAGACACTTATTTGCACATTGTATAAATAAATATGTAAAATGAAGTAATCAAAAATATAACCATCATAATGAACTAAATCCTGTGTTCACTGCCACGAAGTATTGTTGCATGTTAATAGTGATAAATATTTTTAGCCTGATTTGAATTTCTTGGCAAAAATGCCTCAAATGCACAGGGGAGAATAACTTTCATCGGTCATATGCACACTCGGATGTATCAAATGAATTACGTACCCTCCCGGACAATTTGAGGGCACCACAAACTACTGAGATTTTTAAAAAGGACTTAAAACATTTCTTTTTAGCAGAACTTATCACTTTTGATTAACCTTGCAGGTTGTCACATATTTTTATGTTGCTTTTTGCTATGATGTATTTATTTTGTCACACTTTGAGATTTGTTTCAAATGTAAAGTGTGTTACAAATAAAATGTATTATTAAGGGTCCAAAGCACGTAGTGCATTGGAACCTTATTGTTTTTCTTAGGATTTTTCTCTTTTATTATTATTATTATTTTCCTGCCCTAAAACTTGAATGCCCAGCCTAAACCGTAAGTCCTACGCCGACCAAACTTGGTAGGTTGATTGCAATTCCTACCCGCTACTCAGTTTGTCCGACCCGTCCGACTCAGCCAGGCGCCCCCCAACACGTTTTGGTCGATATCTCCTGTCCTGTTTGTCCTACAATCGAAATTCTTTTTTTCTGCTGATACAGACAGCCATGCCCTACGAAAAAGTCAATGGGAACTATGAAGCTCCGCCTACTTAGATTTTTTGCTAATTTGCAAATCTTACTTTTTCCTTAAAGTCCTAGCTTGTCCTACCAAATCAGACAAATGAGGTGTCAAACGAATCAGAACTCTGAGCTGATCACGAATTTAAAAAAAAATTCCGACATTTGTCTATTGTATGGCCATTAGCCACGCCCAAACAATATCCAAATTTGGCCCATTTTGCTCTGACTGCTATAACTTGGCCGTGACATATACTAGGACCCAGCCTGAGGACAGACACGTACAATGGCAGTCATAAATCATAAAAGATTGTCCACCATTAGCCAATCAAAATCAAGCAGCCATTTGACAGGATTATCGATGAGCAATCAAAAGCAAAACCAAATTTGGCTGGTACATTCGGCCTCTGACCCTCTGCAAACCCTGTAAAGGACAACTCACTCGGCCAGATGGGGGCGCTACAGTGCCCCCATTTGCATTTCTGCCTACTTCTACAGAACTATCAAGCATACCGTTGAAATTGATTGCCAATCCAATTCACTATGTCGTGCCAAATCCAAGCACATATTGAACTTGGTTATACATCATTGCCTTTTTGCATGACTTATATTTGTCTGAAAACAGGCTTTTTCGTTAACCTCCTATGATTTTCACCTCACCTACATAAATCTGGTGTCATTCAAATCAGGAGACAGTCCATTTAAAGATTTAGAGAAAAAAACTTAAACTTTCGGTAAGGTACGGCCAAAAGCCACACCAAGACCCTACTGGTGCCACGTCCATTTCAATCAGACAGCTATAGCTCAGCCTTGCTTCAGCCAATCATTACCAAATTTGTCTCACTAATGTAGGGCTGTACCATAGACAGACCCTCCAATTCGTGTCGATCGGTCAAACAGGAGCGCTACAGCCACTGGTTATATACACTCACCTAAAGGATTATTAGGAACACCATACTAATACGGTGTTTGACCCCCTTTTGCCTTCAGAACTGCCTTAATTCTACGTGGCATTGATTCAACAAGGTGCTGAAAGCATTCTTTAGAAATGTTGGCCCATATTGATAGG